TCTCCTGTCTCAGATTAGTCGCTCTGGGACCCTCAGACGAGTCGCTCTCCTGTCTCAGATTAGTCGCTCTGCGGCCCTCAGACGAGTCGCTCTCCTGTCTCAGATTAGTCGCTCTGCGACCCTCAGACGAGTTGATCTCCTATCTCAGACTAGTTGCTCTGCGGTCCTCGGCTTAGTCGCTCTGTGGTCCTCAGACCAGTCGCTCTGCGGTCCTCGGATTAACTGCTCTGTGGCCCTCAGATTAGTTGCTCTGTGGTCCTAAGACCAGTCGCTTTGCGGTCCTCAGAGTAGTTGCTCTGTGGTCCTTAGAGCACTTGCTCTGTGGTCCTTAGACCAGACGCTCTGCGGTCCTCAGACAAATTGCTCTGCTGTCTCAGAGCAGTCGCTCTGTGGCCCTCAGATTAGTTGCTCTGTGGTCCTAAGACCAGTCGCTCTGCGGTCCTCAGAGTAGTTACTCTGTGGTCCTTAGACCAGACGCTCTGCGGTCCTCAGACAAATCGCTCTGCTGTCTCAGAGCAGTCGCTCTGCGGCCCTCAGATTAGTTGCTCTGTGGTCCTCAGACCAATCGCTCTGCTGTCTCAGAGCAGTCGCTCTGCGGCCCTCAGATTAGTTGCTCTGTGGTCCTCAGACCAATCGCTCTGCCGTCCTCAGATGAGGCACTTTGCTGTCTCAGACCAGTCGCTCTGCGGTCTTCAGATTAGTTGCTCTGTGGTCCTTAGACCAGTCACTCTGCGGTCCTCAGATTAGTTGCTCTGTGGCCTCAACCCAGTCACTCTGCGGTCCGCAGATTAGTTGGTTTGTGGTCCTTAGACTAGTCGCTCTGCGGCCCTTAGACCAGTCGCTCTGCGATCCTCAGATTAGTTGCTCTGTGGTCTTGAGCCCAGTCGTTCTGTGGTCTTCAGACATTTTGCTCTGCTGTCCTCAGATGTCCCTCAGATCACAGCTCGGTGACTGTGGATCCCAGCGGAGCTACAGAGAGCTCAGTCAGCTGGAGTGACGGCACATTTAGCCAAAGAAGAAACGAGCCAGCTGTGATTGGCAGAAGCTCCTCAGAGGCTCGGCTCTGCTCTTTCACCCGCCACTCTTCTCTGGTTAAATCAGGCTTCAGAGCTGCAGAAACTCCACATTAGAAGCTGCAAGGTAAGAAGGCTTTAAAACGGGAGGACGAGGAGCTTGGCTTGGGATCAGGTCTCTGAGCTTCGACGATGGAGAGATTTAAGAATGACAGACGGTGTCCCGGCTGCTACAATCAAACCGTTCTTAGGTAGCTGGACGTGTGAGATTACACCAACATCTGGAGAGTCCTGCGGCTTCTGGGCTGTAATTAAGAGAGAGCTCGACGCACATGGAGCAGTCTGGGGGATGACTTTTTAATTCAAATCATCCTAATGAGAAAGAAGTTGTTCTAGATAAAGACAGCACATCCTAAGGTCCTTCATGTTCAGTAAATAAATTGGTTTTCATTTGAACGGCTGGTGAAGTGGCCTGCCTGCACCAGATCAGTCTTATTAACTAATGTTGCTTCAAACATGTTGCGTTGATTTGAGATAAAACCTCAAGGATGTTTTAATTTATTTCTGTTCACCATCGCAGAGCAAAGAGGAGACTTCGTCTGTTGGTGAACTTCAGTGAACTTGTGAGCACGATAACCTGAAACATGAGACAGGTACCACTATATATATATATATATATATATATATATATATATATATATATATATACAGAGAGAGAGAGAGACCACTCTGATCATCTGAGGAAACTATGTTTTCTAGTTTTTATTTTGCTTAAAAATAATGTTTCCTCAAATGATTGAGGTAGCCACGTCACATTTATGGTGGTGGCCATCTTGGATTTGAACGTGGCAACCCAATGTTCAATAGCGACCTTTCTTACACCTAGACCAGGGGTCTTCAACCTACGGCTATGGGGCAACGTGTGGCTCTTTCAAGCTTTTACCACTGTAACCTCTCAGCGAGAAGGTCACCAGATCAATTCCTGTCCGGGGATCTTTCTGAATGGAGTTTGCATGTTCTTTCTGTGCTGCGTGGGTTTTCTCCAGGTGGACTGGAGACCTGTCCAAGGTGTCCCCACCACTGGCACAGTGACTACTAGATATGAACACCTGCAACCCAGAAAGGAGGAAGTGGGTAAAGACGATGGATAGATGGATGGATGAATGGATAGATGGATGGATGAATGTAGGTATTTCTAAGGCCACTCTAGTTGTCACAAGTGATCCAGCAGGAGCAGCTGGCAGAGAGTGACTCGTCTTGAATTAATCAGGACAAGATCATCGACAGAACATCAGAGACGGTGAAGTTCATCCCAGAGACGTTTGGAGCGTCACCTTTCTTCAGCGTTTAAAACTTGTTGAAAAAAACACCAAAAGCTTTCAGAACATCTTCAAATGTCAGGACCTTCTTTTAACTTCTCGCTGCAGAGCCGGACCTGGAGGTGTTTGGTTCACACGCGATAGACAACACTTATCAGGATCCAGCTCTTTGAAGCTTCAGCTGTGACTCGACGGAGGCCGTAGGCTCACCAGGAACATGAGCCGAAGCCCAGTCCGGACAGCTAAAACACTTCATTTAGAAAGAAATTGTGGCTGTGAAGATAGCTAATATAGATGAATGAGTGCCGCTGCATGATTGGTCCAAAGAGTGGGGTTACAGCGCAGATTAAATCTGTCAATCCACAGATTATTACGACTCACAGCATGCTGCATCATCATCGTTTGAAGAAGTGGAAATACTGTAGTTTTCAGACTATAATTTAGTACTTAATATAATTAATTAAGGACCACACCTTCACACTGACTCGGAAGCTTTTCCACGGCAAAAACTGCTCTCGATGTCTTTTTCAAAAGTCGATAAAACAGAGCCCCGCCGATGCCAAAAAGCAGAGACCCTGCTATCATAAGTCCAAATATGTAAACGTCTTCAACATCCTCCTGAGACAGAACTGAGAGGCACATCATCTGCCACACTCCCCACAAATCCATGACGTACCCCACAGCGTGAGCCTCAGCTGGACATGCCGGTTCTCCAGGACCCTGTCATTTTGATGAAAAAATCTTATCAATAGAGTTGAACGCCCACGATACCAAATCCATAATCTTCTAAATTTATGTTCGGGAGATGAGACCCAGGCGCTTCAGACTCACAGAGAGCAGAGCAGGAGGAAGGACAGAAGCAGCCACCTCGATGAGAGCCTGGGAGGAATGTTCAATATGTGAAGGTTTCAAGTGGTGTTTGATGTTAATTTTCTCTAAACTGTAATTTTTGGAAGTTGAAATGAAACATTTGGTTCCCTGAACCCACTGTGTCTACATGAGGCTCACGAGGGGTCCCTGAACCCACCGTGTCTAC